AAAGGTCATCGACAAAAACGGAAAATACTTGATTAAATTATTATACATATTTTCAAGCAAAAATGTTGAATTTTCCTTTTTATTTAAAATACGCAATCACTTAGTTACCAATCCAATAGATCAGCCAAATAATGAAAATTGTGTTTCTTACGTAACACAGATTCCGTCGATTTGTCATGCATCTCGTATAAAAGGGGAAAGGGTCGATGCATGGCATCAGTGGTCTCACGTTCGTCAATGTTTCACGGTGACATTATTTCTACCATTACCGCGAGTCATAATACCCTTTTCAGCGTCGGGAAGCGGAGAAATGAAACAGAGGTTTTCATCGCATGGAAATGAAAGGCAAATGCGCGACGCAGAGATCCGCTTTGCCACGAGGAACAGTAGAAGGAAGAAGGGAAGAAAAAAAAAAAAAAAGGGAGAATCCTGTGGGCGAGGAGTTTCGACAGTATGTTCTTTCGGGCGACGGTCGGGGAAAAATAAATAATCCTAATTGCGGGTGAATGGAGCTCGGCATGATGAGAAAGGAGAGAAATAAGAGCGGCGAAAGCTGGACGGTCTTCGAGACAATGGTCGTCTGCTGCTCTGTTCCTGGTTTTTTCTCTCCTTCCATCCTCTCACGGGTTTTTCTCCGACGGTTCTACCTTTCACCGCGATAATTTCGCTAATTATTTATTCACGTCGCCTCCCCCGCGGCGCCGAGCACGGCCCGTCGATATTTTGTCCGCCGTTCGTGGCTCGATGTCGACGCTACGGTCAAAAAAACAGGCTATATCGCTTTCTAATTACGAGTCAACGACGTCCTTCCCTCGACGTCGTGATTCAATGGGTAATTACATAAGAACGTGTTAATCGCATGTATGTCAATGAAATATTTTCCGGGCAGGAAATCGAAGAGCTTTCCACCGTTATCAAAGACCACTTTATCCGTGCCTCTCTCCATAAATATCCATGATAATGCCCGAACTCGGCGGTCCCGGACGGTTCAAGGGTTAAAAAGAACCGGCACTCCAATTATTCCATGGAATCCGCGTATCCCACGGTCTCCGTTCCGTTCCCCTGATGCCCCTTGGCGGCCCAGCCGATGCGACGGCTTAATTAAAGCAAATTCAATTAAAACGGACACGCGGTATTAAAAATTTCACCCTCGCCAAATCTTAATTATCCCTAAGCGCACTTGGTCGTTCGTCGAGTCCATTTGTTAATAAATCTTCGAGTCATTCCTCGTGTCCTCTACAAATTCCCTGTCTTTGGTTTCAATTTTCAGTTTATACATTTTTATTATCAGGGTTCTCCTGTCGTTCGTCGAGTCCATTTGTTAATAAATCTTCGAGTCATTCCTCGTGTCCTCTACAAATTCCCTGTCTTTGGTTTCAATTTTCAGTTTATACATTTTTATTATCAGGGTTCTCCTGTCGTTCGTCGAGTCCATTTTGTTAATAAATCTTCGAGTCATTCC